CAAACGAGATACGTGGTTTGGTAGTTTCACCGTCGATATGGCACACACCGTGATCTTGCTCGTAGTGCAATGAGAGGGGCCTTTTTAAACAGTCGCACACAAAATTCGTCGATTTTTCACAATTTGTATATTTCTTAAGAGTCTTTTGCATGATCATCGGCGATTTTTCAAAGAACGGAGGATCCGGTGAAATTTTTCGCTCGGACGGTACGAAACTTTTTGAGGTATTTTCTGCATTCGCTGCTCTTTTCAGTAGCACAGAAGTATTGTCGTTTGATATTCATTGGAATATTTTTTCTTGAGATATTATTTTGACTTAATGTGTCGTTTCTTGACCACAAAATTTAGTTTTTTTTTTTTTTTTTTTTTTTTTTTTTTTTTTTTTTTTTTTTTNTTTTTTTTTTTTTTTTTTTTTTTTTTTTTTTTTTTTTAGTTAAATCCGTTGATTAAACTCAACATCAGTTTTTTTGAGTTTAAAAAGGGTCGGCTTGTCATCTTTAAGTTTAAGTTAAAACAACGATAGCAAAACAACGTTTCTTTAACTTTTAATTTTGGATCTCAGATTCTGGGGGGCACTAATCTCTTTTGTAGAACGATAGCAAAACAACGTTTTCGAACTATATATATTTAAAAAAAAAATTGAAATTTAAAAAAAAAAACTTTTTACAAGAACTGACGCTTTAAGGCAAACTTACATATAACAGAAAGAAACCAAGCCACATCAGCTATCGCCAAATTTAATCGGGAAATTTAATTTTTTACATGAAAAAGATTGTACGGATTTTTGCGCAAATTTCAGTGAATTTTCTCCGTAATACAGAGCAAATTCCTTAAAATTTTCAAAGGAATCTGCAGTGACGCTCTTTCGTAAAAAATGAAATTTCCCTGTTAAAAATAGCTGACGTGGCTTGGTTCCTTTCTGTTTAATGCGTTCCACATCAAGAAATTTCTTTTTCAGCATTTCCTTCATAAAATTTAATCGGAGAGATGTGGCAATGTGGGAAAAATTCGTCCGTCGCCGGCCGCGCCGCGACGCAGCAAGGTGCGTGTGGTGGTGGCGGGCGGCGGTGGCGGCGCGGTCCGCAAATCGCGCGGGATCCTCAATTACGCCTTGTTTACAATCACCGGGATGCACTCGACGACGCTCTTAATTATCGCATCGCTTCCCCCATCCTCGCTCCCTCTAATCACCGCTGAATTTATGTTTATGATCCAACCAACAACTCTTCGTTTCGAGTACGTGCCAGCCTTCACCGTCAAATCCCTCCTCCTTCAACCCCTGTTCTCAGGAAACACCTCACTTCTTCCCACGTTTGGCAGCCCTGCTTTCAGACCGTCTGGCCTCTCCTCGTTGCTTAAATTATGCCCGAATCGGTTTCAGTCCTCTTCAAGTGGTTGGACCGCGGACTCTAATAAGCATTTTTTCGACGCAGAGGGTGCTTAAGTATCTGTTAAAATACTTTCAGATGAAGGTGCCATTTTCCTAAAGACAGCAGTAAGCACACCTCTCGTGCGGAATCGTCTGAACTTACTGCTTCTGAAATGAAGTCAATTTTTAATCATACCTCTCGCGTTATTGTTTTTTGTTTTCGAAAAATAAGGTAAATTTTTCTGTTGTGGTTGAATGGGTCTGTTCATATAAATTACATCAGTCTAATTTTAAAGGAAATTTCATCTGAAAATTGTGAGCGTACGTCTTTCCTCGATAACACGGTAAAACAAGTTGGCGATGTTCAGCGAGAGGAAACAGATTGTGTGCGATGAAGAAAAGCTAAAACGCCTTCAATTTTTGTTTATGCAACCCGGGCATCCCCCGAACACGAATAGTTGTATTCAGGCGTTCTCTTTAAGGTCGCATTAACATCCTTAAACTCCAGCGGAAGAAACTTCATTAGTGACCGTTTAATAAATAAAGCACCAGAATCCTCTAACATATCTTTTTTATATTATTCCGATTTATCGCTTAAATATTTTCCTCTCAATCGTTCGTAAGAACTAGCTGCGATCATTTCATGGGGCTATAATGATTGAAGAGTTCAGTGCATATCGATGGCGTAAGTCCGCAATCACATATCTCGTTTGCGGTGTCTGAAATCTCTGTTATTTTTTTAAGGGAGAACAAATTGACATCATTCCTCCATTGAAATTTATGCAGAATTTTCTTCGCGCAGAGAAGAAAAGTCACGTCAGTTTTCAAGAATTGCCGTGGAGTAGTTTTCCATTTAAAAAATGAAGTATGACAGGAAGTCTACGACGCGACTTCGCAAACCGAGTTATTTGATCGCCGACCAGCGACCGCACTGTGTTTGACGCAGTGCGTGAAGTATTCTTGCACTTTTGTAGGTGCTAATATGCGTTTAGCGAGGACCACCGACCGCACTGTGTTCAGCGCGATGCGTGAAGTATTCCTGCACTTTCGTATCGTCACTTTCGTTTTCCATTTCTTTGAAAAATTGAGGTATTTATTACGGGGTAGCACTTTTCTCTAAGTACTTACCTCAATAACAATTTTTAGAACTTAATGGTTTAGCTTAATGACAGGGTGTGTTTTCTCTAGCTATAAGACCTTCAATGGAAAAAAAAATACATTGGATTTAGAGTCCAGACTCTTGAAAACATTGACAAGAAAAAATGCCCTTGATTCAATCGGATTTTTGCTTGAATAAAAACGAAATCCGCTTAAATTAAGAGGCTTGGTTCTTGATTTAAGCTAGATTCTGTTAGAATCAAGAGTGCTTTTTCTTGTCGATGTCTTTAAGAGTCTGGACTCCAGATCCAATTTTTTTTTTTTTTTCCAGTGTTGAATCTATAAGACCTATGAAATCCTTAAGTCGAATTTATTTTTTTAAAAGCAGAAAAATGCCGAAAATTTGGGCGTCCCTGCTTTCTCGGGAGTGTTGATGGTGATAGTTAGGCGATTGTTCTTGTCGCGTCGCGGAGCCGTGGGGCGCTCGGCGTTTTGGCAGCGAGATTGTCTCGCGGTATCATTAATCAAGACGCTTCATACCGCGGCTTCGTTTACCGCGGCCGCCCCGACTTCATGTCAATTCCTCTTCAACTTTTTGTCGGCAAAAATAGTTTTCGCCGGCCGGCCGCGCGTCTTAACACCGACTCTTGTGCTCTATACGCCGACCGGAGCTCTCGCATTCCAGTCGCCCTAACGCCAACCATGGCGACCACCCAATGAGACGAACTCTAATTTACGAGGCACCGAAATTTCTGATTCGGGAAGAAAGAAGGGTTCCAAACATTCAAATTTTGGAAATGCAGTTTCCAACGTGTTTACATTAGAGTACCTATATATGGAGAGTACGGACATGTCGAAAATTTTGAGGTTAGGTTATGGAGCTCTTAGACCCCAAAAGGGTAGGCAATCTATGAATTCAAATTATCCAGAGTGATTTATAATCGCAACTGTTGGGAACTGTCGTTGGTAAAGCACGTGTTTGAATTGGGTTTTGCATAAACTTACTCATTTTTGCGGAAGAATGCTCACTTATGAATTTTCTTGTCCATTTTCGTTTGATATTGGAGTCTAAAGGTTGACGGTGACATTTTTCGTTTTCGAAGGTTACCTACCCTTTTGGGTCCTAAGAGCTACGTATTTCGAGTTGTTCATACTCTCCCTAGATAGGTACTCTGGTTTGCATAAAAAAGGTTTTGAGGGTAATAGGTATTCGTCCTTTTAACCGCTTCGAGCGTTAGCGCGGCTCTCGCGTTTTTTTGCGGCGCTTGCGAGTTATTACAATACTATACTGCTGTTCTAAGGAAAAACGCTGTATGAGCCTTCAGACGTTGCCAAGTTTCCTCCGATAAAAACCGAATTTTCTGAAAAAGTTGTGAATATTATTTTCCACAATTTTCAGACAATATTGTACGCACTTGTATCTAAAATTTCAAGGAAAAATATGCATGAATATTGCCAAAATACATGTTTTATCAAGGGAAATTTGGCAGCTTTCGAAAGTTCATACGGCGTTCTTCCTTAACACGGCAGTATATATCGACGGTGAAACTACCAGACCACGTTCCTCGTTTGTAATGTGGCAGATTTCCTGTCATAATTTATTTTTAAAACGGAAAACTACCGAACGTTATCTCTTAAAGTTTCCATAATTTTTCTTCTGGGTGCGAAAAAAAGTATGTCAAGGAATGATGTTGAATCGTTCTCTTTAAAAAAAATACAACGGAAAGGAGATTTTGAAACACCGTAAACTAGATACGTGGCCCGGGAATTTTACCGTTGATGAATTCTGCCGTGCTAAGGAAAAACGCCGTATGAACCTTCACGCGTTGCCAAATTTCCTTTGATAAATCACGAATTTTCGAGAAAGTTTGTAAATTTTTTTACTTAAAATTTTCAGGTAATTTTGTTGGCAATTTTACCTAAAGTTCCTGAAAATTTGAAGGAAAAATATTCATAGCTTTCTCCAAAAATAACTATTTTCCGAGAGGAAATTTGGCAACTCTCGAATGTTCATGCGGCGTTCTTCCTTAGCACGGCAGAATTGTGGTCGCATAGTGGCTTATTGGAATTGGCGCTCTGTATCAAAGCCAACGAAAAATCCAATTCCGTGATGCTTCACAACGTTATTATAAATTATGTACTTTCGTGCGGAAGTACTCAGAGGTTTACCAGGCACAGAACGATACAATGTTTTTTCCGCACTTCAAATCCGCATTTTCCGCGAAGAGCTAAGACTTTATTCGAAAGGACTTTACTGTTTTACTTTTCTTTATTCGAAATTTGATGACAACACATTAAGTCACGTGAGAATATGGCGGAATATTGAAAAACAGCTGCTGACTGTTACATTGTCCTTAAATCGTACTGGAGGACGAAATAGTAGAGTGAAACATGAATTTTAAAAAATCCCTTGCCCCCCTAATTGCGTTGCATATGCCTCTAATTTTTAGCTGAAAATCAATGTTCTTGAAAGTCGAATTGCGGCTAATCTATCGTTGTGACCAATTTTCTTTTCTCAATTTTTTGTTCGCAGAGATCGTGGCTGCCCCAAGGAAACGGCGACCCTACTTAATGAAGCGGAAAGCTCTGACGACCGGGATTTTCGAACCAAGTCGGAACAAAGATGAGTGGGGAAAAGATGAAAAAGGTGCGAATTTCTTCATTTACTTTCTTTTCATCCTTTTTGCACGCACTGGAATTCTTANAATCGTACTGGAGGACGAAATAGTAGAGCGAAACATGAATTTTAAAAAATCCTTTGCCCCCCTAATTGCGTTGCATATGCCTCTAATTTTCAGCTGAAAATCAATGTTCTTGAAAGTCGAATTGCGGCTAATCTATCGTTGTGACCAATTTTCTTTTCTCAATTTTTTGTTCGCAGAGATCGTGGCTGCCCCAAGGAAACGGCGACCCTACTTAATGAAGCGGAAAGCTCTGACGACCGGGATTTTCGAACCAAGTCGGAACAAAGATGAGTGGGGAAAAGATGAAAAAGGTGCGAATTTCTTCATTTACTTTCTTTTCATCCTTTTTGCACGCACTGGAATTCTTATAAAATAGAAAATTCTTATTTCTTTAATTCTTATGAACTCTTGTATTTTTTTCTGGCGATGGAAACAAACATGTTCTTACTAATTAGAGATTATCCTTGTGTCACCGTTCCCAAACTTGCGGATTTCCCTTATTATTCCTTATTTTGGTAGATGACTGATCGTCGCTATTGCAGAAAATTTAGTGTGATTTTTCTTCTTCTTTTTCTCCCTTTGAAGAATATTCTCTAAAAATTATGTACAAAATTCTGAGAAATATTCACTGAAAAATTAACGGAGGTGTGAAAAATTTGGGTCTCAATCGTGGCACGCATATTAGTAGTTTGATTCTCAGATTGGATCATAAGATCCATGTGAATTAAAAATTTCTAGGAAAATCTCTTCTTTCTAAGAATGACGAATTTGATCGGGGGATTGGAGTTGAGATGCCGCTTACTTTAAGTTCGTTATTAAAAGACACCGAAGAGTCACACATCATTTTAAAGATGACATGCCTTAAATTGCATTAAACTGCTACTTACGAATCCCCCTTGTTTTTCAACTCATACGAATAAATTGATTGTCATATTCGCGTAAAATTTTATTGAAAATAAAGCAAGAACACTGTCACAAATTAGAAAAAAACTCTCTTTCAAATATTTTATTTTCAAATTATTTTCTGGTTTAACTGGAAAAATCGTCTTTGATGTAATGGATTTTGAAAATGACTCACGGTTGCTTGGTGTTGGTCTGCAGTGTCCGGGTCTGGACTGGTTTTTGGTATACCTCTAAGCCAGTGTGTCGAAAACGAAAGGAAGGCCAAGATGACGTCATCAACACCTGGAATCAGTCCCTCAACGCCGACGTCCGATACGGACTTCCGGCGGAAGTCCCTCCACGGTAGTCACCCTAGTTTCCAAGCTCTATCCGACGTCCCCAGCTCAGCTCGATTTGAGGTAAAAAAAAAAAACATACCGATATTATAATCTTTGTTTAAGATGCCTTAATTTTCCAACCTTACGAACTTAGGTTTTTTACCCTATGAAGCCCAAGTCACACTATCAAACTTTTCAGCTGACATAATTGGATGAAAAGTTGAATGGAAAGTTGGACCCAAAAAAATTTGATTCAATTATCGGTGCAGTGTGATATCGTCATCAGCCTGCGGTTCGCGAAGATACAGCTTTGGCTCATGCCGGTCGGAAGATTTCGTTCCAACTTTTCGTTCAACTTTCCGTTCAATTTTTCATCAAATCGTCGTTTTCTCTCGTCAGTGTCACACTATCCAACTTCTCATTCGACAAGTTGCATCCAAGAGTTGAATGAAAAGTTTGATAGTGTGAATTGGACTTCAAAGGTTCTTAAATATTCTTTTATTTGAGTTTTTCCGATATCCGAGCCCTTAAAAGTTCATCATTACAAGGAAAATTTACAGAGATTGCTGGAACACGGAGATTCATAGCTTTATTACAGGTACACTTATTTTGCGGTCAATCTTTTGGACTTTACTCCTTAGTGGAATCGGCGTATCCTTTCGTGTGAATTTTGAATGTTCCACCTGTGGATCGAATTTGTGTGCGGATTAACCGAAGAACAATTCTCATGATAAATGCCCCTGAAAAACTCACTTTAAGCTCTGCGGAATTTATCATAAGTCCATGAACGTTCTGTCAAAAGTCCTTGCATACGGATGGAAAGTTCTTTAAAAGTCTTAAAATATCTTGTTTTGTCTTGGCTGCATGAGCCTCGAAACTTCTCGATATTTTTGTCTTGAAGTAGATTGCCGTCTAAAAGCTTTTCCTCATGTAGTTTCCCCGGAAAAAGCTCACAAAGACCTGACAATAAATCCCGCTGTACAATGGTTTGGTTTGAACTTAAATAGAACCACTAAAAGTGCGACGGTTTTTGCGACTGGTCACTTGAGATCTCTAACACCCACAAAAAGATACGTTGATCAGCGCCCTAGATGGACGATTACGATGGACGAGCGCATTAGATGTAACAAGCGATTATTAGGAACCACCTCTGTTATCCAGTCAAATTCTCTGTTCAGAGATTGAGCTAAAGATAATAGGTAGCATCGTTGTTACTCGTATTCTGTGAAACGCGTTTTCGGAATTTGAAAAAATGCTGTTGTGCGGCCCGTGTGACGCCACACAACAGCATTTTTTCATCTCTGAACAGAGAATTTGACTGAATAATAGAGGTAGTTTCTAATAATCGCTTGTTAATTCATCTAATGCTACAACCACAGCTTTAAATGGACGTATTTCTATCAAACGGAACTATGTGTACAATGACGTGAGCCCTGTAATGCATATATTCTTATGGGTCTCAAGGCTCATGTCTTAATGCACATAGTTCCGTTTGATAGAAATACGTCCAAATGGTGTTCCTACAAACTGAGAAGATGAATTTACCAGGTTGACAGCGTTTCTCGCAAAATTCTACCCAGAAACTCCCGGCAAATAGCAAAGCTTCTTTTTCCTGCAGGAACGATTTTCATGCGAAGAGCAAAATGAATCAAAAATATTGATCTGCTCGTCGCAAATTGTGTCAGTCGCACCGTCTCTGCCGTCTGGTACCTGCCATATTCAGGGGGAAAATTGGGACCCAATGGATAGCTAGAATGAACCACTAGACAAGGTACGAATTTAAGCTCTCTGGTACATGTTTCTTAAGCAGAATTTCACGTAGAATTACAGAACGAAAATTACTGAAAACAACCCCTAACGGAGATATCAACATTTTTATTTCACATTGGTCACGAGGAATTTGAACTGCCCGCTCACAAGAAACTCAATCTACGTGAGAGAAATCGCGACCCACAACGGTTTCAGCAAGCTTCTCAATCGAGCAATGTTCATTTCTCACCATGTGTTTTTCAAACTATAAGTAATTTTCTATTGCTGAGCCAAAGCGTCAAGATTGAGATTGCCAGATTTTTTTATCGCAGAGACGTTCTTGATAACGTTCAGCGCGCGATGTTAATCACGTAGAGCATTGAGTTTTAATGAGCGGATGATTTGAATTCACGCACCAAGAATCATTAAATATCTTCGGAAGGAGTTGATTTCTGTAATTTTCGTTGTGCGCATCGTGTTCTACCTGAAATTTTGGCGAGGAACCATGTATCAGAATGCTGAAATTCGTACCTTGTTTAGTGGTCCATTTGCTTGCATACACAATGCCTTAATTGGGAATTCCTCAAGTGACGTCATGATCTAACGACTGAGATGTTCTATAGGTGGCTCGTGACCCGTGTCAAAAATAAGACGTCCAGGTGGAGCTGTGCATGAGTCACGGGTAAAATAAGGCGATCGAAAGAGATTCCTGAGTGAGAGAACGAGGCGAATATAATAAGAGGATGAGAGCTTAGAGATATAGACGGGGGAGGGATGAGCTTTGACAGTTAGCAACATGTAGTTTCTGTTGGCTAAAATCCACGCGTTATTAACTGTTGCCACGTGATCTTATTCTAATCAGCACGAAGAAGGCTTTACATTCACCCTAATGCCGAATTTTATTCGTCTGTCGACCACACATGAATCGGTTTTTTATTTGTGCGCTTGCTTAAACCTGAGCGTACGAGGAAGAGACACGAAGAGTAAATTTTCAATACATATAGACTGAAGTCTCAACAATGTGGCGCCTATCTTATTGTTGCGTCCGTAGGCTATAGGTTTTACAGCTTCATTGCAAATCTGTCCCTGAGTGATACTGTGACCAGTTCGCGCTGAACGCGCATTGGCGCCTACAAACCTAAGTGGATACAACAAACACTGTGCAATGCGTGAAGTATCCACTTAGGTTTGTAGGCGCCAGTGAGCCTCTCACGCTGGCAGCACGCCGCTCCGCTCTGTCAGGCTCTAATATTTATACTCGCATAGTCAGCGTTTTTTAACTGATGATTTTCAAATGTTTGCACACTCTGCATTGATTATTTTCATTGAAATTGATGAAAAAAAATATTTATCAATTTATCAAATGAGAGTAATAATATAATGTGTTTTTTAGATATTGGTGGTTCCGTGTCAAATTTAATGATTTCCAAGGCACTTTAATTTTTTATTTTAAATGTTGTGCCTTTACTGTGCTGCAGCGAGGTGTGAACGCAACCAAACGCTCAAAATTTGACGTATTTGACTCTAAAGGATCGGTGCACAAATGGGTTAAAAGTAAAGATTGCGTGCTTCTTAGATTTTTTCCTCTTTTATTCATTTTTGCAGTTTCTTTCGGCACAACTGCGGCTCATTGAGATTAATATCGATGTCATCGCTTGGAAAAGGTTTTACAAATATTTGTCACGTTTTAAAAATATAAATAATTACAAAATGAAGTAATAATTTCGTAAAAAAAATTTTAAAAAGTAAAAAAAGTACCTATACATATGCAAGGTATATTTTACATCGAATATTTTAAGGATAGAAATAAAACCATATATTCACCAATGACGATTTAAAAAGATGAATCAAAAGGAGAAAGTAACATTTCATTCAGAAAATGAGCAACCATAACAACACCTCCCTCTCTCTCAATTTCATTTTATCAATAAAATTGTACATGCCGACTAAACGCTATAACGCTTGGACCAAGTCACTGCTGCTTATTTTACGTGTGGGCGTGAACTACTGGACAAAAAGGTGCGCGGACAAAAAATCGTTGACAAAATGTCCTGAAACCCGAGGAAAAAGTTTTATTACACAGGTACTGACTTTTAGAAAGGCGTCTTAAAAATGTTTCTTCCCTGAGAATGTTACGCCTTTTAGCTACAGCATGTGATATAGGCCAATGGCAACGCTGCGCCGGCCCCATCTGTGTTCGCAAATGGATAACATGACGTATAAAAATGAAAATAACGGGAAATAGTAACTCTTTTGTTAAAATTTGCTAGTTCGATCGATAAAAAACAAGCACATTGACAGCATATGATCAGGTTTTCGGCCGTGTAAAATGTTCCGAACATCTAAAAAGGGGTTTGATCTTTCCCTGAAGCGTTTCATCATCATCGAAGACTGATGACACGCTCAAAAGCGTTCTTAACTGGGACTGTCATTGTATGTTACCAGCGTCCGGAGTTGTGAAAGATTTATTAACTGTTCCGAGAAGGCTCTCTTAATCATTTCGAGGAAAAACCCCCTTCGGTTAGAAATAAACGCCGTTTCTTCGTAAGTGGACAGCAGAAGAATGATATCTAAGTTTCAGCTTGAGCCTCGGATCGCCTTAGAGCGCACTATTATTAAATCTCAGATCGAAAGATAAATGGGCGGTTTTTACCGAATGGTTCCCGAGATGAGTCATTCAGGAGTCTGATTTGATTTGGAGAACATGATTGTGACGGGATGGCTGGCCCAGATCGACTCGTGTCAACGCAAATTGCGTCTTTTTGTCAATTCAACGTTACTAGTGAATTCGGATCAGAGTCGGGATAGAAGAGTCCGAATCGTATGATTAAACGTCCTTACCTAAAATTGATGGTTTCCACGATTTGGCCCTGCTTCCATCTTCCAGGAGACGTTTAAGGATGATAATATGTTCTCAGAATATTCAACGTGGATCTACAGAAAAAATGAAGTTGTTCAAACATTCAAACATGCTGGGAATCAAGTGACCTGAGGGCCAGTTGCGCCAGTCATGTAAAACCGTGTTTTGATGCTTTTTAATTCACCGATTTGGCCTTACCTTCAAGTGGATTATTTTCGTGTTTTGGGCAAGTTTTAGATCGATTAAGTAAGATTCAAACTTTATAGGCAATAAAATATCGATAGCCCCTGTGCATGAGTCTGTAGAATCATTCCTACAAGAAAAAATTGCAAAATTTGGAGATGTGAAAACAGGATTTTTTCACGGAAGAACGAGACATTCGACTAAGCAATCGATCTTTCCATCAAATGTAACGTTTTGTTTGGCCAAATCCTACATTTATTTCTCCGAAATTTTCAATTATTTCCTTTTAGAATTATTCTTCAGACTCATACGCAAAGGCCAAAGTCATTTATTTGGCTGCGATCACAATATCTGCCGAAGATTTTCGATTTATCTCACAGTTTGACCACGCCATAGACCCGGGATCGGTGGCGATTTGAAAGCGACAATACTGTTTCTGCTCCTTTGAAATGTTTGCAAAAGATCGATTCTTGGTGAGACAGCTTGCCTCGCACTTAAAATCGATATTTTTAATGGATTTAAATGAGGGAAAAGCAGCGTTGCCAACTTGCAAAATCGCCACTGTCCAGGACGAGTCAGCTAAAAAGTCTATTCCTTTACCTGTATTTCTCGGCTGCAACAGATGTAGTCATAGAAAACTACTAGGGGGTCCGCCTACTGGCCGCCTCGCGGCAATTGAAATCGTCCGGCCCATCGACCGTCTTACATCCTTTCTCACCCCGTCCATCAAGCGTCTTAAAAATGATTTTACTTTTGATAGTTCCCCACTTTCGGACTTTGAACTCCCCTTCCTCACCCCGTCCATCGAGTGTCTTAAAAATGATTTTATTAGACTAGAGATGATACCGATTTGTATGTGAGTATAAAGCCACTTTTATAGCGCTCTCTGGTGCTCAAAGCCCAAAGCCCCCTATCCTCCCAAAGCCCTTCAGGGTGTTGGCAAACCTTCCTTTCCTCTGAAACCCCCCGTCGCCACCCTTTTCACCGGGCGTCCCCTTCGTCTCCTCCCAGGAGGAACCCAATCAAGCATCTTCTTTGGCAGCCTTTCGTCCGTCATTCTATTGACATGGCCATACCAGACAAGCTGTCTGGTCATGACGTCGAATATGATGTCATTTTCGACTCCCATGATCTGTCACACTCTTTCATTGCGGACCCGATCTCTCGGATACCAATTTTCTTTTGAAAAAAACATGAGTTTTGTTTTTGACTTTGTCGTTGCAGAGGAAAGGATCGACGGAGAGCTTGATGTCTCAAACTTCAAACATTCCACTCGCACTGGATTCCATGAATGTGATGAGCTCCTCGGAGCTGGCCTCTGTGCTGGGGGATCAGCCCTTCGACCCTGGGGTCCCCAACATCGTCCTCACCTGCCTCAACGTCATCGAGCAGCAGGGACTCAACACCGAGGGCGTTTTCAGGGTCGGCAGCTCGAAGAACAGGGTCAGGCAGGTATGTAGCCCAATTCCTCTTTACAAACTACGTCTTTTGTTCACAAGATCGTCATTTTGATAGATTCACATGGGAACAGACAATCCCAAAAGCTTAATTCACACCATTAAACTTTTCATCCGACATGATTCAACGAAAAGTTGGATGGAAAGTCGGACGCAAACAAAGATTCAATTACCGTTGCAGTGTGATATGGTCATCAGCCTGAGGTTCGCGGAGATACAGCTTCGGCGCATGTCGGCCGGGAGATTTCGTTCCAACTTTTCGTTCAACTTGTCATCCACCAATTGGATGGAAATTTAAACGAAAAGTTGAATGTGACGTCACATTCAGGTTTCCGTTCAATTTTTCACCACTATCCAACTTTTCATTCGACAAGTTGCAGGTTGGAGGTTAAACTTTTGGAAAAATACAGCATGCGACGTCATCCGTCACGGCAATTAATACTTACAAATGTTTCTTTCAATTTGGTCATATCGAATCTAAATGAAATAAGCAGTGCAAATGTAAATCAAAGATGGCATTCTTTGCCGTAGGTAATGACACAAGTAACCGTCTTCGTAGAAGAATCTTATCTGGAGGGTATGGTTCTGGAAAATAAAAACGTGAATCAGTCGAGAGATCACTAAAAAACCGGTGTCGATTCGATCGACAGGAATCGACCGAAAAGTTACATCGTGAGTCGATCGACGTGATTCAATCCACACCGATTCGATAGACGAAATTCGATCAATTCACGAGTTTGTCTATCAATTCACGAGGTTTTCTAGCGATTCACGGGTTTGTCTATCGATTTACGGGTTTGTCTATCGATTCACGGGTTTGTCTATCGATTCACGGTTGTCAATCGAATCGGCACCGGTTAACGTTTCCATTTTTTAATTGATTCATGTCGATCAAATTCGTACCGTCCGTCTTATCTCAGGCAATGCTAAGCGTTGATATTTGAGGGGCTCGGAGGACAAGGCGCATAAGTGCAGTTCTTGCTATTTTGAGAAATACGTGTTTGAAGTTTTAAGATTACATGGGTTCTTGTAGCAAAGAGAAAGTTCAAATTCATTTTTTATGCTTAAAAATTGGAATTTGGGAGCGAATTTTCCGTAGAACGTACAGTAAGACCAGTTTAAGTTGGAATCGTTAATATCTCAATATTTTCCAAAACTGCAAGCAGCAACTTCAACATTGGATGTTAGGACGGATTTCATTAATTTTCTCAAATCTGTCTGAACAAACCACCAAAATGGGATTATGTTACCAGCGTATGTGGTGCGCCATTTCATATTGATTGCCTCTAGATGGACCGCGTTGAAAAGAAAGGAACCAAGCCACATCAGCTATTGCCAAATTTAATTGGCTAATTTAATTTTTTACATGAAAACACTTGGGCGGATTTTCGTGCAAATTCCAGTGAATTTCCTCCATAGTACGAAGCAAATTCCCTATCATTTTCAAAGGGATCCGCACAAACGTTTTCTCGTAAAAAATTAAATTGCCCAGTTAAAATTGGCAATAGCTGATGTGGCTTGCTTCCTTTCTGTTTTTAAACGCGGTCCAAATGATGCATGCTCGGTTCCTAGATGCGGGAGGAGTTCGACTGCGGTCGGGGAAACGAGTTGCTGGCCAATCAAGAAATTTACGTTCACGACGCTGCAACATTGCTCAAGGAATATTTAAGAGAGCTGCCCGACCCTCTCCTTTGCAAAGACCTGTATCCAGCTTTCATTAATTCTCAACGTAAGTAAACTTTCATGCATAATGTTTTACAATTACGCCTAATTTTCCATGATATATTTGTCTAGAAAATCGGAATGAGCTTCGCTAGAAACCTCTCTGGGGGAGTATTGAACTATCTGAACTCTTCCAGATGTTTAATTTTCCAGATATCTAGCGGCCACGACACGCATTGCTTCAATGTTTTTGAACACTAGAAGTTCTCTCAATGTCCGTGGTCCCATGGCTGGAGCTATTTAGTAGGAAAGTCAAAAGTTGATGAAAATTGTCTGTGCAGAGGGGAATCCAGCAATTTGGCAACACCGGATATCCTCCATTTAAACCTATGTTAAATAATCGATTCTTGTCCGAGCACCCGGCCCCTCCAAGAATGGATACATTTCCATAGGTTTAAATTGAGAAAAACACCGTTGCCAATTTGCTAGATCCACCAGTAGCTCTGTGGTCTGTTCGAAGCACGACACAAGTCTGAAAATTATATACACAAGTCTTGTTTGTCCCACCGTGGATGATTGAAGAACAACTCTTTGGTTATTTTCAAAAGAAGACCTCATCTTTTTAAAGGTCAACGTTTCTAAGATCCCTGGTTGGAATCTAAACTTTCCATTAATGCCCTCCGAACTGATTATAAGATAAAGAAAGTTCGATTATAATCAGTTTTTGTTACATGAACACTTTTTGCTCGTAATCACTCGAAAATATTTAATTTACATGTATGTTTTTACGTACAAGTTATTCATGACCTTGTGGTCATGCATTTTATTCTTCGTGATTTTGAAATAACGGAGTCGTTCGTTGCAGGACTCCAGAGTCAAAGACTTCAAATAGAGTCAATTCAGCATTTATTACAGTTACTACCGGCAGTGCACCGAGATACACTTTGGCATTTACTTCGTGTCTTAGTTAGCGTAGCGAATAATTCCAAAGACCACAAAGACACTAAAGGTATGTTCCTTTGGTCCCGAGTAAGTGCTCAGTTTTGAACTTGTTGTGTTGCGTGAAGACACTAACTGCCTAGTTTTCATGAGCTAACATGAGTTTTACACGCGTGTATGTGCTGCATATATAACATATCGACGGTGCAAGTCCGCAACCATGTATCTCGGTTTGCGACCTGGCAGATTTCCTGTCATCCTTCATTTTTTAAAAGTACCGAGTTTATCAGAAAGGAACCAACCCACATTTTCGACACTGGAAAATAAAAAAAAAAAAACATCGGATCTAGAGTCCAGACTCTTGAAAACATTGACAAGAACAAATACTCTTGATTCAATCAGATTTGAAGCTTAAATCAAAAGGAACTCCGGCTTGGTTCTTGATTTAACCAAAAATCCGATTGAATCAAGGATATTTTTTCTTGTCCATGTTTTTAAGAGTCTAGACTCTAGATCCAATGTGTTTTTTTTCCAGTGGAAAAAATTGCGAGTTGAGAATGTTCTTAAGTTCCATTTGTCTTTTATATTCTCCTGCCAAAATCTGAAAGTCGAAAAAAATAAATTAATCTGTGAGAAGAGGGGTTGAAGTTTATTTTCTTCATTAAGCCTTATGCAGGAATAAAACTTCAAACCTCTTTTTCTTAGTTTCAACTTAATGTAGATTGGTTTTGGCTCCTTTCCGATGAACTCGGTCCAAGCGGGAAACTATTCAATGGCCATTCCTAAAAACTGCTGTGACTTTTCTTTCCTGAGCAAGAATAATTCTGCAAGAACTTCAAGGAATGATTTCGCTTTGTTCTCCTTTAAAAAAAGTAAAATAAGAGCGGATATTTTCAAACACCGCAAACGAGATACGTGGTTGCGGACTTACAACGTCCATATAATTGTTTTCACGTGTTTGTTATTTAACCAATGAATGTTTAACGTGTTCTTGTCTTAACTTCCGTCCGATTTGAATCGCAGATATTATGGAGTCGCGCGCTGAGCCTGTATCTTTTGTTGCTTGTTTTTAAGGCTAAATCATCGGCCTGTAACCAAATGCTTTAGCTCTCCCGCTTCTGAAGTTTGGATTTTAGACCAGGCAAGTTTAAGACTTTGATTTGATGATTTTAAGTTTTGCTAACTGTAATTTCTTACATTTCTTTCCAAATATTTTCACCGCTCCCCCCAGCGTCTAAAGCTTTTCATGTAACACACCTCTGGCGACTCGAATAGCCGCCATTGTTTATTTACACATGGTAATCAGTAAACCAATGGCAACGAAATACATATGAAATATGACGCAGATATGATATGGTAATTGATTTGATAGTTGTTTTTTCTCATTACTTAGGTTCGAATAAATAAAGAAATTTACAGTCTGATACATGTCTGTAGGTCATGCAGGCTAGAAAAAAAAATACATTGGATCTTGAGTCCAGACTCTTGAAAACGCATTGACAAGAAAAAATACTCTTAATTCAATCGGATTTTTGCTTGAATCAAAACGAAATCCGCTTAATTTAAGAGGCTTGGTTCTTAGTTTAAGCTAGATTCTGATTGAATCAAGAGAACTTTTTCTTGTCGATGTTTTTAAGAGAGCCAATGTGTTTTTTTTCCAGTGCAGCAGCGGAATCATCTCTTCTCTTAAAGTTTTTGTGGGTTCTGATCAGTCACGTGGCGTACTTTGCGATGTGTTGATTGATCTCCCATGTAAACCTATAGAAAACGATCGATAAACAGGGTCGAACGAATGAAACGACAACGAACATCGTAATAATCGATTCTTTACCATAGCTTCAAATGGGAAGGTATCGATAATCGATCGTTCACGCCTCGTGACTGGTTGTGATTGTGTCTCTTATTCAAATTTTTAAGATAATTGAGATGTTTTGCGAGTAACAGAAAGGCACTGCTTTTAAAAGGAGTTTTTAAAAAATCAGTTACCTTTTTTTACCAAAAATAAAGAACGTTGAATACGCTCTTTGAATTGTTTGCAACCGAAAGGTATAATAATTCTGAAAGTCTGTGTTATCCTTTTGAGCAGGTTTAATGGTGAAGGGGAATAAAATGGATGTTAGCAATCTGTCGACGTTATTTGCACCAAACATCCTATATAGTGATAAGGATCAAATTTCCGGGAAATACGCTTTAAGCCCTGCCGGTGCCGAGGAAAGGGCGGACGCAATTAACGTAGTCAGATTCCTGATCGAACGCCACAAAGAACTCTTTGCGGTAAGTACGGTTACTCTTCGTTGGTAACTTTGTCATGTTTGACCGAAAATAGTTAATATAATGTTTCCCCAGACGAAAAAATAACGTTTCAATTTTAAGTATAGTTTCAAGTACGTTTTAAGAATGCAAAATTCCATTTGTGAATTATAATTTTATTATTAGATTGTTAGACGTCTTCGACTGAAAATTACACTGATTCTTCCTCTGTTTATGCGGAAAAATCAGCAAGATTTTTGACCGCAATTGTTCAGAAACATTCTTGTGAAAAATTGAATTTTTTTGTCATTTTGCAATTTTGGAAATGAATTACGTCGTTTTGTCTAGAAAACGACCCCATAAGGCCATTGAAATTAAACCACCTCTTCAAGTGGGCTGGAGAAACCCCCGGTTTATTATTATTACGCGATTTATTGTAGTATCGTTTTAAAATGATAAATTGATGGCAATTGACCTTAACTAGAAAATTTATCCGATCGAGAGTTGAGCTTTTAATAGCAAGCTACCAATACGGCTGGATCAGGCTAATGTAATGGTCAATTTTTACCGAATAAAAATGCGACAATTCCTTCTTTCAGAATAGCTTATTTTCAAAGGGAGAAAATAATTAAAATGGCTCGTATACCTCTTGACAATTTTTTGACTATACTTTTTTCAATTTAACTTATTGTCAAACATATTTTTATATATATGGTACACTAAGTATTGAACTTGCAGACCTTTAGACAATTGAGTGGAATGCACAAGGGTGGAACTGGAAGAACTGTACTGTATCCATTTAGGGGGCTTTCGATCTCTCCGAAATTGAGATTTTACACCACATGACCATTGGTGGATCCAGCAAATTGGCAACATTGTATTTGCTCCATTTAAACCTATGGAATTGTATCGATTCTTGGAGGGGTCAGGTGCTCCGACTAGAATCGATCTTTTAGCAACTTTAAATGGAGAAAATCCGGTGTTGCCAAATTCCTGGAGCCGCCTCTGCATATGACACAAATCTCATAGAAAGTCATACCTACTACTAATTTAAGGACAATTTATGAAGCTAAAATGTTTACCTTGCTCTCATACACCGTATTAAGACTAAATTGAATTAAATGCTGTTAGACCTGCTGAAATCACCCACAACAGGTCAATGCTGCCTTGCTAAGGAAGAACGCCGTATGAACATTCGAGAGTTGCCAAATTTCCTTCGATAAAATGCTTATTTTTGAGGAAAGTTATCAATATTTTTCCTTGATATTTTCCGATATTTTAGATTAAATTGGGAACCAAATTGTCTGAAAAATTGGAAGAAAATATTCAGAATTTTCCCAGTAATTTTGTTGGTTATTAAAGGAAATATGGCAACGCCTGAAGGCTCATACGGCGTTCTTCCTTAGCATGGCAGAATGAGTGGGCACTTTTTGTTTTGATACAAATGATAAAATTTTAGCAATACTCATGACATGACGCCGAACAATAAGAGCACCCAAAATGTGAAGTTGTTGGAGTCCAATCTGTGTGACTTCGTAAAACACTAAACATGCCGCTCTATGCTCAATAGTCAAATCGCAACTTTCTCACACATGCAACATCTCCATTAAAATCCCGCTATGTTGTTGTATTTTCAGCTCTCGGCAGATTTGCTTAACGAGGTGTACCTCCACATGATGGATAGTAACCCGGAGGAGCTGGATCAACTGTTGAGGGCGAGGATACCCGTATCTGAGGTGTAAGTACCCCCGACTTATTATGACTCGAGTATTATGCACATCAAGTTTCGCTTCACTCCGACGTTCCGACTGTTATACTAATCCGAGATTTTGCAATTTGCACTCGGTTCCTTCTTCGAAATTCTTAATTCAGATACGACTACATTGAGAAAAAAAAGTCCTGTTGTATGGAATGCCGGTATGGTGTTCCATATCGGCCATACTACTCGGTTCATGTAACCTTACTCTCGGTTCCTATAACCGTACTCTTGACTCACGGTTCTTAAGGCCGACTTCCTTCTCAAGAAAGTTTGCCAAACACTATCCAATTTTGCAAAGCACACGTAGATGATTGGGTAATATTTGCGCAGACTATCTGGACGTATTTATGTAAAATGGAACTATGTGCAAAAGGAAAGATGGGGTGTACTCGGTTAATGCTTGGGCCATACGAACGAATGGGAAATAGAAAGCGCCAGTGACGTCAGGGACAACGATCGGCAACGCGATCTTTAACTCATGAGCCCTGCCCACAACGCTCTTGTCACATGCCCACGGCTCACGAGTTCTTTTCATTTAATTGAAAATTCCGCTTTTCCATTTTCTCAAAAGAAACTATATCTTCTTTTCCATTGTTTTTGTGTGCAGCTTTCACGAGCACGCCCCATCTTTCCATGTTGCGCATAGTTCCTTTTAGCATAAAAACGTGCAACTGTGCTGCCGTGCTAAGGAAAAACGCCGTACGAACATTCGAGAGTTGTCAAATTTCCCTTCATAAAACATGTATTTTTGACGACATCCATGCACATTTTTCTTTGAAATCTGCAGATATTTTAAACTAAATTGCATACAAAACTGTTTGAAAATTTTGGGGAGAAATATTCACAATTTTCCCTGCAAATCCGATTTCAGGGTGTCTAGTATTTTTTAATTTTGAAAAATCCTGATATTGTATAAATAATTCCTGAATTTTTCATTTTGAAAATACCTGATATTTTCCTGATTTTTCTCGACTCCTGGCACGGTAGGCAAAAAGCAGTAAGACTTTCTCCGCTGAGGAGATTCGCGTAAGAAAACTTCCTGATAAAACGTCAGATTTTTTCGATTTTCCTGATTATTTCCCGATCGGCCAACATTCCTGATATTTTCCGATTTTTCCTAATGCTAGACACCCTGTTTATCGAAGGAAATTTGACAACGTCTGAAGGCTCGTACGGCGTTCTTCCTTAGCACGACAGTGTGAGGCTTCCGGTTCCTTTTTTGGGCATTGTTCAGAGAACTTGAATGGCACGACCGCAAGTTCGGCTTTGACGAGACGCTTTGTGGGCGCAAAATACGCGGCAGGTATCGATAAAGGCTCGATAAGATGCACCCACTCGGGTTGAACTTGATTGATTTTTGAGCAAAGTTCCACCAAGTCGGGAGCCGGCCGCGATTCCGTTTGACGCAACTTTCGACCTCGGCTCGGCCGGGCGGCCGCGGCTCCTGGCGCGCTGCATACATCAAATGACAACAAAACCGCTCGGCTTGTCGCGACGCGTTCGGAAGTGGGTCATTAGATTGCTGATAGTGCGGAAACCGTCCTGACCCACCCTCCCCCTCCGCCCCGACGGCGTCACGCGCTATTTATAGAACGCATTGATACGCTGATAACGAATCGTGGACAGTTTTACGTGAAAAAACCCGAAAAACAAAACAAATAAAAATAACTTGTTTAGTTAAAACCCGGCTCGCCCGCCGCCGCCGCGGTCGGTGCTTCGCCCCGCCGGGCCCCCCTCGCCCGCGCTCTGGGCCGAAACCGCTCAACTCCCATGGAAACCCCTATGTATATACGCGGGTTTTGTCGAGGGAGCGGACTAGAGCTTCTGATGGGATCCAAGTTCTTTGACCGTATTAGGGCCTATCACTTATTTCGAGCACTGGAAAAAAACACATTGGATCTAGAGTCCAGACTCTTCTTGAAAACATTGACAAGAAAAAAAATACTCTTGATTCAATCGGATTTTTGCTTGAATCAAAACGAAATCCGCTCAAATTAAGGGCTTGGTCCTTGATCACTTATTTCGAGCACTGAAAAAAAAGAAGAAAAACACATTGGATCTAGAGTCCAGACTCTTGAAAACATCGACAAGAAAAAAATACTCTTGATTCAATCGGAATTTTGCTTGAATCAAAACGAAATCCGCTTAAAAAAAGAGGCTTGGTTCTTGATTTAAGCTAGATTCTGATTGAATCAAGAGTACTTTTTCTTGTCGATGTTTTTAAGAGTCTGGACTCCAGATCCAGTGTGTTTTTTTCCCAGTGAGAGGAAAAATCACGAGCGAGAATAAAGCCCAATTCACACCATCAAACTTTTAATCGGACATAATTGAAAGAAAAGTTGTATCGAAAGTTGAAAGCATAAAAATTTGATTAAATCATTTGTCGTTTAATTTCGAAAGTTGAATGAAACGTTAATTGCGACGTCACATTCAAGTTTCCGTTCAATTTTTCATCAAATTGTCGATTTCTCGGGTCGGTATCACGGTATCTAACTTTTCATTCGACGAGTTGCGCACAAGAGTTGAATGAAAAGTTTGATAGTGTGAATTGGGTTTTACGAAAAGCTTGGGTTACACAAAGCTGAAAGTTTATAGTGGCGTTGAGAGACAGGAACTTTTTACATGTCAAAAGCATACTTTCCATTGCATCGTCGCAAAAACCATTTTTCAAGATGTCTGCGATCTCTTCGACAGTTTACGGATCTTTAAAAGGCTTATAAAGATTTTGGGGGAAGGGGACTTGTGGGAAATACTTAAACAAAAACTAGAACTTCACGTGGGGTTGAGATGTTTTTGGGGTTATCTTGAGAACATAAGAGTTTATGGAGACTTAGGTAACCAATTGGACTTTAAGGGATACTTATCGAGGGATACAAAATCACCACAGAATAAAAAAATCCTCTACCAAAGAATGCTACAATACCGAATATAACGATACAAATTAGATGACATCGCGGAAAACCGGCCCACACGACACCAAAAATTTGCAAAGATATTCATTTCAACGTTAAAAATGGGGGAGCGTCAATTCCATGAGACAAAATTCACTAAAACTCTCTACACCTCTTTGGTGTAACAGGACTTAATTATCTTTCAAGAAATTCCCACCTTGTTATACTTGAACCGGATAAACCTCTATATTTGCCTCAGCTAAAGGCTCCTAGATTTTTCCCGTGTACGATAANGAAATTTTTTGTTTGTCGGGACGACATAGATGACATAGGTTAAAAGGCGGAGCGTGATTGGTCGGCTATGTCTTATCGCTGCTTTACCGTGCCTTTGTCAGGTGGAATGATCGACATACTGTCAGAAACTTAAGAGGTGCCGTTAGCTTGTCGATCATTCCACCTGACAAAGGCACGATAAAGCAGCGATAAGACATAGCCGACCAATCACGCTTCGCCTTTTAACCTATGTCATCTATGTCGTCCCGACAAACAAGAAATTTCAATAATCGCCCCGCTGGCTTGGACCATGCTTATCGTTCCTGTATGTTAAACCGTTGCGCGGCTAAGCGGAGGAAGGGTAATGGGTGACACCCCCCCCCCACAATCACTACTCCCTTCCCTTCGATAATGGCCTTAAAAAGGAGTAAAAGGCTAATACAAACGACCCCCGAGTGAAAAAAGTATGACTTTAGTGTCATCAGAACCCCGGCCGCAAATGTTAAACTACCTAGTACTTGATTTGTTAGGCCCGGGCGGAAGAGCTTCGATATATCGTATTTTCGTAGATCTACTGTGAGTCTAAAATGATCGATGTTAATCATTTCTGATGTGAAATTCAACGTTATTTCAGAATCCGCCATTAAATTTTACATGAGAGCAGCCGTTTCAAAGAAAAATGGGCATTTTCGGGAAAAAAACTGAAATTTCCGTAAATGCTCGTTTTTTCGGCGGCCATTTTAAGGGGTTCAAAGTCGTTTTACAAAAAAATTCATAAAAGTCATTTTTATTGGAAATTTTATGAACTTTTATTCACTAGATAACTCATTTTTCGCTAAAACCAATTCTTTTTGAGATATTTACGAAAAACCGAGGAAAGGTCGATTTTTTGGGGGTTTTGGGGGGGCGGGGGGTCGAGCGTACAGGGGATTCTTGGGGACTTTTTGCTGGGAGTCCCTGGCACCCCAATGAACAACTTGGGCACATAAAACCTTATATATAAATTTTTTTTTCTAATCGCCGATTTTTGATCTAATATGCCTGGACTATAAGTATCTTGATTTATTTTGCGAGGAAAGATCTGTACTTTTAAAGGATGCCTGTCATTTCTAATACGTTCAATTTCGTATAATACTGTGTAACACCTCTGACGTGAAATAGTTGCTTCAGGCGCCGCACGGCAGGCGGGCGGCCAGTGCGTAACGCGCATTGGCGCCTACAAACCTAAGTGGATAGTTGGATACTTCAAGCAGTGTGCAATGCGTGAAGTATCCACTTAGGTTTGTAGGCGCCAGTGAGCCTCTCGCGCTGGCAGCACGCCGCTCCGCTCTGTTAGGCTTTAATACCTATTTATACTCGCATAGTCAGCGTTTTTTAACTCATGATTTTAAAATTTTTGCATACTCTGCATTGATTATTCTCATTTAAATTGATGGGAAAAAATATGTATCAGTTTATCAAAGGAGAATAATAATATAATGTGTGCTTTTTAAATATTGGTGGTTCCGTGTCAAATTTAATGATTTCCAAAGAACTTTAATTTTTTCTTTCATTTTGTGCTTTTATTGTGCTGCAGCGAGGTGTGAACGCAACCAAACGCTCAAAATTTGACGTGTTTGACTCTAAAAGATCGATGTACTAATGGGTTAAAACTAAAGATTGCGTGCTTCTTGGTTTTTTTCCCCCTCTTATGTTCATTTTTGCAGTTTCTGTCGGCACAACTGCGGCTCATTGAGATTTATGTCGCTTGGAAAAGGTTTTACAAATATTTGCCACGTTTTAAATAAATGTTTTCAAAATGAAGTAATAATTTCG